TTGGAGAGTATATAGAGTTTATTGATAACACTGATGTAGTTTATATTTTAGTTTTTTATTAGTTTACTATATGGTATTCAATATATAGTGTAGTGTATACCCAGTTACTTTATGTTAATAGCTCAACTTATTGAAGAATATATTGAGTACATTTATTATATTGATGTAGTTTATACTTAGTTTTTTCACATCGGTTTACTGTATGATAGTTGGGTAGTTGCAGTCCTTTAGCATCCATATACTAAATGCCTCTGTTGATATGTAAACTTTGACTTTAACATAGCTATTTCCGTGACCAGTCACATGCTAATACCTCACATTAACATCATGCTAATCTCCCAGTTACATGCTAATTTCTGACTTCAACACCCTGCTGATCCAACACTTTAACACAGCTATTTAAATGTTAAATTCTCCTTTTTGATATGTAAACTCCTTTGTCAAGGCGCTTTACCTCTCCCACCTAGCCTAAAAGACGCTGCGAATCTTAGCAGCGTTGATTGAAGCACTGTTGTCCCGACAGTTCTGTTCCTTCACCTGAAGAAGGCTACTTATGTTGTGGCCGAAACGTCATGAGAATTTTATTGTCTTATTTTGTTTTATTGTTTTATTCTCATTCTACGTGACTTTACCGAAAGAACCAAGCAGATATACTTATATACTTTTATTTTTTATTTATTTTTGTGACATGCTTAGATTTTCTCTATTTTGCACTCAAATAGTTTTTTGTTTGTTGTTGTAACTTGCTGACCCACCCCAACTGGATATCTGTGAAAAAGAGTTTCATAGATCATCTGATTCCTCCTGCAGTCTCAACAAAGATTATTATCTGAAGCTGGAAAAAGCCCAGTGAGCTACGAGCTCTCTTCCTCACAGCTGTCCAGCCCAAGTTGGGGTCTTGGCAATCGCGAAAAAGTACAGACTCTGAGCTCAGATACAGTACCCCCCAGAGTTAGAGACTATCAGTACTTTCAGGGGCGGAACTATGGTATGGGGGGTGGGGTACGTGGCAGCGTTGTGCAATGCATAGGCGCTCAGTCGCGCACAAGGGGGCCCCTGAATAAACACCATTTATTTTAATTCCAACAATTAACCATGAATGCCAAAAACATTGTTACAAACTAAAAAAAGAAAATATTTCCGAAAAAAATTCCATGCGGAAAATATAGTAACACGCTACTGGTGTTTGTTACTGAACACCATCAGACTTTTTTTGTTAAATGACATGCACATGAAAGCAAGACGAACGACAGCATAATTGTGAGTATTGTACCTTTAAATCTGTTTTCGTAATACTGCCACTGTGACACGGTCTTCCTCTAAACCCAATACATGGTGCAACTAAAATAATATATAGTTATAGCCTGACATATTGTTGTATACGGGTTAAAAACATCCGTAGCTATTTCAGTACGAGTCGGGAGAAAGGAGGGGGTGGCCCACAGTCGTATCTTGCGTAGCTCCCCCCTCCCCCCGTTGAAATAGGTAGTTGTGCCCATTTGTGCTTTGCATGCTCTAACATTCCCCACAATGCCTTATTTACAATCTAAATACAGGTGTGCTATTATTGGGGGTACCACGTGAGGGGAGTTTTTTGTTATATTAATTGTAATTGTTTACAACAAAAACCCCTACAAGTAGGTTGTGAGTTGATTATTAGAGGCGAGTGTGTTTATGCGAGGATGGTGGTGGCGGGGGAAGAGAGAAGGGATCAAAAGAACATGCAGGAAAGCTCCAGTTCTCTATTGTGCAGCATGAGGCGAAACCACAAAGTGGTGTCGGATTAAATTGCCAGGGACAGGATGTGGTGTGCGGAGGTCAAAACCATGTTTGGCCCTTGTACACCACACAGCACCTCATCTGCTGGTTCTGCTCTTACCCATAATATCGCTCTTTCTGTGTCACCCATCATCTCCGAGACCAAAATACAGTAGTTTGATATTCCTCAAGGTTCCATCAACACAGATTTAAATACCTACAGGATTAAAATTATTCAATGACTGTCACTATTTCAAATAATGCAATTATAGACGGTGCATTGGAAACTAACGGAATGGTTATGAAACAAACAAGGTGCAAGTTGCCTGAAACCACAACAAGCTCGGGGAAAATGAGACGTACAAAAAGAGATGGAGATGCGAGACTGAAGATTATATTATCAGAAGTCCTTTGAAAAGGTTACAAAAAGAAATCAGAGAACCCGACATAAATGTGATTGAAGACATAATCGCAAGCACTGGGTTGCATGAAAGCAGCAGAGAAGAGGATGATTGGCAATTCACAAATGTTCACCCTGAGGGACAAAGACAGAACCATAACATGTGAAAGAGATATAATCTTAAAATTACTGTAGTGATGGAAATATTTAAACTGTTTCTCAAACGATGATATTCAGCGACAATAACAGTTCACGAGCAGGTGCTATGTGGAATGACAGACACATCATCGTTGGACTGTGAGACATGGCAACGGCCTGGGGAGGCCTTCATCCAGCAGCAGATTTACAATTACTGATGTTAATGATGAAAAGCATTTTGAGATGTTACATGATGACACCATATATATTTTAAAAAAATTGCATGTTATTGTCTTGATACGTACAGGGGCCTTTCAAGGGTGTAGCCATTCCTAGGTCTGAAAGTGGTATCACATTTGCATCTTTAGTTGCACAATTAACCTTAATTTGGATCCATTTTAGCTCATTTGAACATTTATGGAAAGTGCTTCCACAAATTAATGGGGTCAAGTTTGTGTTTGTATGCACCCAGTGGAATAAAACTCTGTAACAAGAGGCCTGAGTCTCATCAATATAATCTCATATTTGGTCATGAACAATGGTTTGTGAGTAAACAGACCCACACACCCATCACTATAGATTCATTCAGAAACTTCTATACTCAAATCAGCATTCTAATACACTGCCATTTCTCACATTCTGCAAATCATCGACAATTTTCCTGATTTTTTGAGAATTGTGTGGTTCACTTGTAAAATTGTCCAAATGTTTAAGATTATCGCATTAGGCCGGATACCTTACAGATCGTGTACTTAAACAGTGCAAGACCTCCAGGAGCCACTACTATTTCAGCTAAATGGAACCAGTGTAGGCCAAATTATAATTTCCTTGTCTTACCTCAGTGGACCCAGGTCCATTTGCATATGACCTAAGCTGACCACAATTCTCCTGGGCCAAATGAGCGTGGGTTCCTGCCTGGTCTAATTGGATGTTCAGTCACCCTAATACGCACTCCAAGAATCCCACCACTCACCCCTCTGCCCCCATCTATCCCAAGTCATGCGTCGGCCACTGTGATAATCAACCCATCTTCCTCCAAATCTATGACCAATTTGATTCCCAAAACTTCGTTCTGTGACTGAGAGTGAAGCCCTTTAGACCAGGCAATGACAATGAATGATAACAAATTGCAAAGATGAGCAATTGTGGCTGTATCGTGAGTCTGCCAATAGGGATAGCTTGCATGGAGTCATCAGATCGTTTCTATGAGATTGTCCATCTTCATGTATTTCATTAATGACAGCTCATGTGGGACATATGCTGTGTATACTGCCATTTATAATGGAAGGTCACTGTGGGTTGAGAATATAATCCAAATCCCAAATGTGAAAATGTATCTTCAATTAATTTAGATAATTTAATTATTAAATTAATCTTCTGTGAGATAGTTAACAAATGCAGAATGTGCAAATCATCAGCTTATCCGAATCTTGCACAGTATGAAGGTGTCATATACTGTATATTAAATCTAAATTATGTACAGTACAGCCCTTAGGCAGCACACTGCTGGATGAAGGCCTCCCCCCATGCAACCTTGGTTGTGAGGGTCATCTGGCAAGAAGAAATCAGCATTGTTGGTCAGCGTGAAATGGTGAAACTGGGTCGGTGGGGGCTAGAGGACTGGTTCGAATATCCCTCGCCACTCACGTGAGCTGGGGGTGGTAATCCAACTGAGGTGACCGGACTCACCGTGCGGAGCGTGACCCACTGTGACGCTGCTCCGCGCCCCCGCTGCGCTGCATATTGCAGCGAATCAAATGGCAAAAGCGTTTTCCTGCTCAAACGAGCACGGGGCAGATGGTGGTGCTTATTTCAGCTTGCGTCCGTGATCCAAGTTGAAAATTGCACACTCCTATGGGGTTGATAAGTCGCTCCGTAGGACCACCACTGATGACTTCCCTCAACGCGGTACCAATTTTTATCAAGCCCAGCCGGGTGTCGGGCTGAGCCAAGCTGTAAAATGGATTGAAACTTGTACCCTTTTCATTGCAAGGCACGTGTACTCTGACCACAATGACACCACCAAGGTCTGCTGATTGGTGGCAGACAGTTTTTATGGAGCAAGACGGTGTGTTTTTGTAGCTAATTTGAAGTACTATAGATCCACTAACCACCACTTGATTTTAATGCCTTTAAAATATATCTATAATGTATAATTTTATTGCATTTTTTACATTTTTACTTGCAACCTCACAAGTTTGTTCTGAAATGGAAGTTGCAATGTACAACTCTGCAACAGAAACAATTCATTTCAGGTTTATGACCCCACCATGTGCATGCTTGGTCACGTAAATTACATTATTTCCACTTCAATTGACCAGCATAAACTCAAAGTGATTTGAATTTTATTTTATGGAACTGAGATAATAATCATAAACCCTTATTAGAGTTTTAGTTCGTAAAATCTTAATCGGTGCGTTAATCACTGATTGAACTTTTGGAAGCAATTCCACGTAATGCGAACTCCTTGAGCAATGAAAGTAAACATGAAAAAGAAACGCAAGCTAACTTTCAAACGCAATGACATTCCCGCGCCTCCGATTAGCACGGTTGGCTATGTACACACTGCAAAATAAACCCAAGATAGATACATGCAAATGGAGTAAACTTTCTCCATGAAAGGAACGATCATTCTAAAATGCTACACTGAGTTTATGGCGTCGTGAACGGCGTTTCTATTGGGACGGGTACAAAGTCAACGTACCCTGCTACGAGGATTTCAAGGTCTCCGTCTCCATCCACATCGGTCACTGCCACGCCGTAGTTCAGCTGAACAGGGTTGTGTGTGTAATCCTGGGGCAGGAAGCGTTCTCCCACTGAAGTGAAGAGCGGGGAAGGGCCAGGCTGAGCCCTGGTCAGTGCCCAGAGTGAGGCCAGCAGGCCGTAGAGCCACGCCGCACCTGCCATTCCTAAACACACACACACACAACAACACAAGCACCATTAGCCACAACCTCCTCGAGATGAGGATGACACCACATCCCGCTGGAATACAGTGAAGTAGGGTGGGGCTGAGGGGGAAGAAAAAACGTGAAGGGAAAAAAATCCCAGTAGGCACTCTTACTCAGCTGCACTGGCCACCCCGTGCGTGCAGTAGATCATTACAGGAAGTGTAAATCTCGGTTAGGATACATCCGTTAAGTGTTGTCATTTTCACGAGCGTATAAAAAAAGAGTGTGCTGAAAAGGACGGGGCATAGCTCCTTTAAGCTTTCAGAAAATAAATTATGAAATTATCATACAGGAGGAGGTCTCATTTTTACAGACAATTTTTGGAATTTTAATATAGGTGGTATAATCAGGCAGATTTTGTATAATCATGAAATTGCTAAATTTGATGGACAACCTCTTTTAAACAGCAGCCACCATTATAAACAAATATAACATTAACAATCACATCAATAAAATCTCATATGAAATATCATTCTTATTTGAAAATTTTCTTCTCAGTCTTGATTTTGAACAGGTTTGTAGCAGAATTCCTGCAAGGGCTTTAAAGTTATCGTAACATTTAATGCATGTGTCTTCACCGGAATTTCTAATTTATTAATATCTGTGCACGTTTGCAATTCTATACATACTTGCTCATATAATGCCAACCATCTCATCATGCATCTTAGAGCCTCTGAAAAAAAGTATTCATGCCATCCAACAATGTTTAAAAACTTAAAAATAGATTCGAGGTCACAATCCCTATATTACATGCACTGACACGATTGCATGCGTGCACACTGCCGAAAAATTTACAATTTCAATTTCTTGGGACTTAAGAAATAAGTAAACGAGATATGCTGCATCCGAGTGTAATTAAAATTGTTTATACTTCCTGAACATGTTTGAGATGGGATGATTAACTATACAGCACAAGTAGTACTGTCCCTGTAATTGGTCATAACCCATGGTTGGAAAACATATGTAAAGCCTGTATTCGGCATTGATATCAAATAGCTACAGGCGGCACACAGGTTTGAATGTAGCGTGCCTAGCAGTGGGCTGCTCCTGCGCTACTGCAAGGCTCTGTTGGTAGTGCACTGGACCATAAGGGCACCTTCACTTGCCTGAGCGCGGCACGGTTCACTGGGCGCCATTGTAAACTGATGCCATGGAAAAAAAATAATCATTCAAAATAAGACGTGCATCCCTAACTCACGTAAGATGGCGCTCTGAAAACTCGAGCTGTCATCATGTTAGCCGCTCTTGCAGCAGCGTGCACAAACTTAATCGATTACGGCTGGACGCGTATATCACGTATACACCGTATGTACACAAAGGCACTCACTTATAATTCTTGATTCCCACAAGAAATAGGTGCACAAAATCAAATGTGGTTTTTATGTGGCCACATGGTTATACAGTGAGGGAAAAAAGTATTTGATCCCCTGCTGATGTTGTACGTTTGCCCACTGACAAAGAAATGATCAGTCTATAATTTTAATGGTAGGTTTATTTGAACAGTGAGAGACAGAATAACAACAACAAAATCCAGAAAAACGCATGTCGAAAATGTTATAAATTGATTTGCATTTTAATGAGGGAAATAAGTATTTGACCCCTCTGCAAAACATGACTTAGTACTTGGTGGCAAAACCCTTGTTGGCAATCACAGAGGTCAGACGTTTCTTGTAGTTGGCCACCAGGTTTGCACACATCTCAGGAGGGATTTTGTCCCACTCCTCATTGCAGATCTTCTCCAAGTCATTAACGTTTCAAGGCTGACGTTTGGCAACTCGAACCTTCAGCTCCCTCCACAGATTTTCTATGGGATTAAGGTCTGGAGACTGGCTAGGCTACTCCAGGACCTTAATGTGCTTCTTCTTGAGCCACTCCTTTGTTGACTTGGCCGTGTGTTTTGGGTCATTGTCATGCTGGAATACCCATCCACGACCCATTTTCAATGCCCTGGCTGAGGGAAGGAGGTTCTCACCCAAGATTTGACGGTATATGGCCCCGTCCATCGTCCCTTTGAGGCGGTGAAGTTGTCCTGTCCCCTTTGCAGAAAAAAACATCCCCAAAGAATAAAGTTTCCACCTCCATGTTTGACGGTGGGGATGGTGTTCTTGGGGTCATAGGCAGCATTCCTCCTCCTCCAAACACGGCGAGTTGAGTTGATGCCAAAGAGCTCCAATTTGGTCTCATCTGACCATAACACTTTCACCCAGTTGTCCTCTGAATCATTCAAATGTTAATTGGCAAACTTCAGACGGGCATGTATATGTGCTTTCTTGAGCAGGGGGACCTTGCGGGCGCTGCAGGATTTCAGTCCTTCACGGCGTAGTGTGTTACCAATTGTTTTCTTGGTGACTATGGTCCCAGCTGCCTTGAGATCATTGACAAGATCCTCCCGTGTAGTTCTGGGCTGATTCCTCACCGTTCTCATGATCATTGCAACTCCATGAGGTGAGATCTTGCATGGAGCCCCAGGCCGAGGGAGATTGACAGTTCTTTTGTGTTTCTTCCATTTACGAATAATTGCACCAACTGTTGTCACCTTCTCACCAAGCTGCTTGGCAATGGTCTTGTAGCCCATTCCAGCCTTGTGTAGGTCTACAATCTTGTCCCTGACATCCTTGGAGAGCTCTTTGGTCTTGGCCATGATCGAGAGTTTGGAATCTGATTGATTGCTTCTGTGGACAGGTGTCTTTTATACAGGTAACAAGCTGAGATTAGGAGCACTCCCTTTAAGAGTGTGCTCCTAATCTCAGCTCGTTACCTGTATAAAAGACACCTGGGAGTCATAAATCTTTCTGATTGAGAGGGGGTCAAATACTTATTTCCCTAATTAAAATGCATTCAATTTATAACATTTTTGACATGCGTTTTTCTGGATTTTTTTGTTGTTATTCTGTCTCTCACTGTTCAAATAAACCTACCATTAAAATCAAAGATTAATCATTTCTTTGTCAGTAGGCAAACGTACAAAATCAGCAGAGGATCAAATACTTTTTTCCCTCACTGTACATGAATTACAACTTTTAAAAAAATTACAAAATCACAAGTGCAGATTTTTTTTATCCACCTTTCATCAACCAAATGCTCGGAGGGAAAATGAATAAAACTGAGAGGAAATCGAAACTACATCTTTGGGCCTTTATACCCACTAAGGGTGGAGGCTGAAATGTGATCTGGATTGTGGTTGTCTACCCTTGTGCAGCTAAGACGTAGTTGTGGGCAATCTACCCCCAAGTTCCTTTATCACGCATACAGTGAGGGAAAAAAGTATTTGATCCCCTGCTAATTTTGTACGTTTGCCTACTGACGAAGAAATGATCAGTCTATAATTTTAATGGTAGGTTTATTTTGAACAGTGAGAGACAGAATAACAACAACAAAATCCAGAAAAATGCATGTCAAAAATGTTATGAATTGATTTGCATTTTAATGAGGGAGATAAGTATTTGACCCCCTCTCAATCAGAAAGATTTCTGGCTCCCAGGTGTATTCTATACAGGTAACGAGCTGAGATTAGGAGCACACTCTTAAAGGGAGTGCTCCTAATCTCAGCTTGTTACCTGTATAAAAGACACCTGTCCACAGAAGCAATCAATCAATCAGATTCCAAACTCTCCACCATGGCCAAGACCAAAGAGCTCTCCAAGGATGTCAGGGACAAGATTGTAGACCTACACAAGGCTGGAATGGGCTACAAGACCATTGCCAAGCAGCTTGGTGAGAAGGTGGCAACAGTATTCGCAAAAGGAAGAAACACAAAAGAACTGTCAATCTCGCTCGGCCTGGGGCTCCATGCAAGATCTCACCTCGTGGAGTTGCAATGATCATGAGAACGGTGAGGAATCAGCCCAGAACTACACGGGAGGATCTTGTCAATGATCTCAAGAAAGCTAGGACCATAGTCACCAAGAAAGCAATTGGTAACACACTACGCCGTGAAGGACTGAAATCCTGCAGCGCCCGCAAGGTCCCCCTGCTAAAGAAAGCACATATACATGCCCGTCTGAAGTTTGCCAATGACAAAGGAGTGGCTCAGGAAGAAGCACATTAAGGTCCTGGAGTGGCCTAGCCAGTCTCCAGACCTTAATCCCATAGAAAATCTGTGGGGGGAGCTGAAGGTTCGAGTTGCCAAACGTCAGCTTCGAAACCTTAATGACTTGGAGAAGATCTGCAAAGAGGAGTGGGACAAAATCCCTCCTGAGATGTGTGCAAACCTGGTGGCCAACTACAAGAAACGTCTCACCTCTGTGATTGCCAACAAGGGTTTTGCCACCAAGTACTAAGTCATGTTTTGCAGAGGGGTCAAATACTTATTTCCCTCATTAAAATGCAAATCAATTTATAACATTTTTGACATGCGTTTTTCTGCATTTTTTTGTTGTTATTCTGTTTCTCACTGTTCAAATAAACATACCATTAAAATTATAGACTGATCATTTCTTTGTCAGTGGGCAAACATACAAAATCAGCAGGGGATCAAATACTTTTTTCCCTCACTGTATGCTATTTAATGATGCTTAACTGATCAGCTTAACAATCATCCAAATAAAGCTGAAAAGGCTACGAGCTCGCATAATGTATTACCCAATTTATCCCTGACATTCACAGGCACTGGCAGATTACATGTTTTCAGATGAAGATTTGGAATACATTATTATTTATAAACCAGTCTCTCATTTACATATAACTAAAATGTCGACACACGCCAACAACACACATCGCGTAATCAACCGTAGGCTCTCTTTGAACTGACCAACGAAGCGATCCTCTTATTGACATAAAAACTGCCAATTAGGGTGCCATATCAAGAGTTTCGCGTCACAGACATAATGAATAAGTTCACCCTCTAAGGACATTTGTACTGCACCTGTCCAGGTAACTGCAGTTCTTCGTCAAGTGTGGGATTCTACAGGTTAGAAGCAGGTTTCCTCAACTTGCTCCTGCTGTGGTACTGACCGTGC